GGTGGAAAAGGAGAGTGAGGATAGTTGCATAATTTGAAAAATCATGCCAGTGTTTGATACATATAGAAATTGTTGCTTTGATGTTTTGATTTATATATGTTCAACAATGAAAATAAGTTACTAAAAAAGTGGGGACCACTCTCTGACATACATAGGTTTACCGTGAATTGAGGCCAATTCAACTGTATGTAACAATAGAGCAGTTAATAGTATATGACCCATAGGTTAGTTGAGGAGCTTTAATATTAGTTATTCCTATGGGCAGTTTTTGTTGGAGCTCCCAGATTGATTCATGTTTGGAAGCAGGACTGGCATCACTTCCTAAACTACATGCCTATGGAAAGTCTAAAATCTTGGAGAAATGATGATAGTTATAGAAAGTCTTCAGGCCTTTGTTCATTTTCTGTTTATATATATATCCTTCCTTCATGTGCATTCAGTCTATATGGTGGCCAAATCATTAAAGAAGTAAGACTCTATGAAGAAACACGTGGCATCAGATTGGGAGGAGATTGAAGAAGCAGCGGAATGCTTCTAGATGGGTGCCTTTGGGTGGTGAGAGCCAAAGAGAACGTATGATCATGGAGGAATTTGGAACAAAAGAGCTCATAGAGTCTGAACAATGCTCTGGTTCTTAAATTCGGTTTTAACTGTTTTTGGTAAACATTCTTCTAGGTCGTATAGCCCTGGTCTGTCGACTTGCTGTATAGTGGTAGCTCATGATGGCTGTGATGCTGAACACTATGACACTGATATATCAAATGTGGTAATAGTTACCCACGGTGGACAGTGTTTGGTGGAGCTCTCCAATTAAAATAAGCTTGGAAGCAGGAGTGTCATTCACTTCTGAAATAGCTTGCCTCCAGAAACCCTATGAACCTGGAGAAAGGATGAATGTTATGCAAGTGTTCAGGTCTTTCATTCGTGGGTTGCTATGAGTCACCTACCATTCAATGGCACTTAACAACAACAACAATAACATCAACAACCTATGCTATGCAGATGACACAGCCTTGCTTGCTGAAACAGAAAAGGACTTTATTGTTGTTGTTGTTGTTGCTGTGTGTCAATAAGTTGGAATCAACCCATAACCTACCCTCCAGGGGGTTTTCAGCAGCAGTTAGTTGCATGGAAGGATATTGCCCATCCTTCTCCCACAGAGCAGCTGGTGAATTTGAACCAAGTGTCTTCAGGATTGTAGTGCTGCTTCTTACCACTAGGCTGCCAGAGTTCCCTATATGATGTGTATTAGTACTATAAAAACATTCATATCTTTAAGTCAACTTTGCTGCTTGGAATCTTATATATAGGAAAACCTTATTATACAAAAATCTGTAGTAGCTTTACACTTATGGAAGGTGGGAGGAATAGAGATAGACTTCCACTTCTGGGACGACAGAATAGATACACTTTTCTCTATTTGTCCTGCCTGATTCTATAACTAAAGCTCTGGAGATTATCTTAAAATAAACATAAGAAGACTCTGAAAGAAGATCAACCAGTGAGGGACTCCAAGACTCACAGAAGAACATCGTAGTTCTAAAGGTTCTTTTAATCTTATGCATCTCAGACTAGAGCAGAAAAAAAAAAAATCAACAACCCCAAAATGCCAAGAGATGCAATAAAAACAGCCAAATAAAAACCTGCTTTCTCCAGCTCAATTTCTGTGAAAGGCTATGCAGTGAGACAGAAACATTTTTTAGACAAGAGCTGTTCAAGTACTGTCAGATACCACATAAAAAACCATGGCTCTAACGCCATCCACAGTAGCAATGGTCAAGTAGGGGCCTGGACTCTCACCATTGGTAGGATGCTGGGGTGGTAACAGAGAAGGCCAAGTAGGGAGTTAGAACCTTCACACCTGCCATATGGTAATGAGGCCCTGCGGACACCACATGGGCAGCTGGCATTCTCACCCTTATTCAACATTAATGGAAACCTTCACCTTCCCGGGGTTAAAGGAGGCTAAACAAGGTTGCTGCACTTCTACTTTCACCCAGAAAGGACAAGTAACTCCTTCTCCTGTAAAAAAAGAGGCAACTTAAAAAAAAAAGCAAGCTTTATATAAAACTCAGTCCTTTAACACAAAAAATGTCCAGGTCTCATCATATAAAAAACAACGAAAGTTGCAAATTGCATAAATAACGACAATTGTTAAATGCCAACACTAGCTAACAGATGTACCAAAGGCTTGAAAATCATCATCAGGAAAACACTTCAAAGAGCAATTATGAATATACTTGAAACAAGTACAGAAACAAGACTCAACAAAGAAGGAGAAGGTATCGAATGGAAAGTTTAGAACCCCAAACAAAATATTCTATGGATGGGCTCAGCAGCAGAATGGCAGAGAGTGGATAGAAAAGAGAATCCAGAACGTGGGAAATAGAAAACAGAATTTACTCAACCAGAGCAACAAAGATGAAACAGAGTCTTCATTTCATTTGTCTCAGGAGAGAAAAATAGGAAATGGTTGAAAAGCAGAGAAAAATAGGAAATGGTTGAAAAGCATTTGAAGAAACAATGGTTAAAAATGTTCTAATAGGATAAAAGAGATAAACGTACTGGTTCAAAAACTGAACAAATCACAGCAGAATCAATTTAAGGAAATTCATACTCAATGTATAAGAATTAAATTAAAGGAAGAAACCTAGAAAGCAACCAGAAAAAAAATTTACAGTCTACCTATCCAAAAAGACAATTACAATGGCAATTTATTGCTCATCAAAATCCATAGATTCAAGAATAAAAGTGGCATAATATTTTTCAGGAGTTGAAAGAAAAAACTGTCAAGGCAAAAGCCTGTGAACTCTCAAAACCTCATTGCTGTCAAGTTGAAACCAACTCATAATTGACCCTTTAGCAGGTTTTGGGGTAGTAAGTGGCACAAAAGTATACTGCCCATTTTTGTTTCATGGAGTCACTGGTGAACTAGCTGCCTTTAGGTTGCAGCAAACCACCCTACAGGCTGTTGTATCGTGGAGTTGGATGCAACTCATCGCTGACCCTCCAGTGAGTTTTCAGAGGCTGTGAATCACACATGAAGAGACTTCCTATCTTTCTCCTACACAGCTACTGATGGATTCGAACTACATACCTTTGTGTTGGCAATGCAATTCGTTATGACTAAGCCACCAAAACTCCACTAGAATTCAGACTATGCCACAGAACCCTATACTGACCAAGATTATCCTTCAGGAAAAAAAGAGTACATACAGACTTTCTCACATAGGAAAAATGTAAGAGATTTTGTTGCTAGTAGACCTACCCTAAAAGAATGGCTTTAGGAGAGCTCTGGTGGCCTAGTGGCAAGGAGCTGCAACTACAATCCCAGAGGCGCAGGGTTTGAATCCACTAGATGCTCTGCCAGGGAAGGAGGGACAATCTTCTCCTGTACAAGTCAGATCTGATTTGACGGTACACTCACACAAAAATAATAAAATAAAAACTAAAAAAAAGGAATGGCTTCAGAATCTTGAGACATTGAGAAATAAAAATCCCGCAAGGAAAAAAAAGGGGGATTTCTTTCTCCTCTTCCATTTTCTAAATTGTACTGATGGTTTAAAGACAAATTATAATCCTGTCTAATACATTTATTAATATATTCCATTGAGCCAAACAGTGACCCTGTGCACAACAGCTCTGAACCTTGGCCTATCCTGAGCCAATCTCACCACCTCTGACACACTTGATCCTATTGCCACAGACATTATATTAATCTGTCTCACCCAGGGTCTTCCTCTCTTTAACTAACCATCTACCCTTCCAAGCATGCCCATCTCCAAGACTGGTCCCTCATAACAACATATCCAAAGTATGTGAAATGGAGTTTCTCCATTCTTGCTTCCAAAGAGCAATCTGATTTCCTTTTCTCCAGGGCAGACCTATTTTCTCTCTTGGCAATTTATACTTGTTCAATGCTCTTCTCTAGTACTACAGCCCAAAAGCATTGATTCTTCTCTGTCATCATTAGTCCAGCTTTCAGATGCATAGCAAGCAGTTGAGAGGACTTTTTGGGAAAATTGTTTTTAAAATAGGAATGAGAAAGGAATATAAAGAGAGGTAAAATTTCTATAGATCATTTGAATTATTAAAATGATAACACACATAATTTATGATACTTTATCTACATAACATGAAATATAGAGTTCAACTACTTAAAAAAGTTCTATAAAGAAATACACATAAAATAAACTAAATAAAATATCAAAATGCAATTAAAAAGGTTCAAGGAATCCACAAGGAATATAGAAAAAGAAAACAGCTTATAAAAAAACAGAGAAATCAAACAAGAAATAAAATAGGAGGCTTTAACTCAATATCAATGACTACATTAAATGTACATGGTCAAAATATAGAAATTAAAAGATAATGGATTTTAAAATGACTAAACTATATGTTATCCATAGGAAATTTACTTTAAATATGGTAATATTGGTAGAGTGAATGTTAAAATGATGAGGAAATATTTCCCTGAGAAATTAGAAGAATATACTCATGTGAAAAAATATTCCCATGAAAATATATCCATGCTAACATCAACCAAAAAGGCAGAAATCACTATATTACCAGATTAAGCATAATTCCAGGAAAAGATAATTACAAGAGGCCAATAGGGACATAGTACAGGGTTGAAAGGATGAATCTTTCAGAAGGCATATGAATCCAAATGTGTATGTGCCAAACAACCAAACTGTAATATACATAAATTAAAAATTGATAGAGAATTAAGGAAAGAGAAAGAAATAAAAAATTATAATTGGAGACTTCAATACCTCTTCCTCAACAATTGATAGAATCACTAGAAAGAAAATCAGATAAAGAAGAACTCAACATCATCAATCAATAGGATCTCAATGACAATTATTAAACAAATTACAGAAGAATACACATTTTAAAAATTATTATGCAAAGGTGTTTAACTGTGTAGATCACAACAAACTGTGGCTAACCTTGAGAAGAATAGAAATCCTGCAACACTTGATTGTGCTCATGTGAAACCTATACTTTGACCAGGAAGCAGTTGATAGAAAACAGCAAGGGAAAAAAAAACACAAAAAAACAACCAGCAAGGAAACATTGCACTATTCAAAATCAGGGAAAGAAATATATATAACTTAGAAACCCAATACATGTTTGCTATGAGCTGAAATGGGCTGAAGTGATGGGTTGGGGCTGCGGGGGGACCTTCAGGGGTATTTGTTGTTTGTTTCATGCTAAATACAAGGAAGTCCAGTGAATACCACTATCATTCAGATATATGCACCAACAACCAGAGCCAAAGACGAGGAAATAGAACATTTCTACCAACTTTTACAGTCGGAGATCAATAGAACATGCAATCAAGATGCATTAATAATAATGGGTGACTGGAATGCAAAAGTTGGCAACAGAGAAGAGTCAGTAGTTGGAAAACATGGGCTCAGTGACAGAAATGAAGCTAGAGATAGAATGATTGAATTTTGCACAGTGACTTATTCATTGCAAATACATTTTATAACAAACATAATCGCAGGTTATACACATGGATTTCACCTGATGGTATGCATAGGAATCAGATTGACATCTGCAGAAAACACAAAGACAATTAACAAATGTCATTTGCTCCAACAAAAAGAAAATGACAATTTATTTTTGCAGCCTCATCCATCAAGAACTGAGGTCTATTTTCTTCATTCATTGAATGCAGATTGGCCTTATTATTGTTATAACCAATTAAAAAAGTGGTAGAACTGATTTCAGAATCCTGGCCTCAAAAAACCTTGAAGCGAAGCTTCAGGAGAGAAGGCACATCAGGTGAGACACTCTTCCCGAAGGACAACTTTGGGGTACTTGTGGTGAGACAAGTGACTGAAATTTCACTGGAAAGGCCCATCTACTTGGAGATCTTTGCCTCTGTGGCTGCAGGGCCACCCCAGAGGTCAAACAGGACAAGAAAGTTCGGGACACGAGCTACAGCAGAGGAAAGACTTTCTCAGCTTTCTGCGAGAAGGAGGTCTGACTTGAGAACCCCACTGCATACAATACTTAAGCTAGTACTCTTAATTTGGAGCAAAGGAAGATATTAAACTTCAGGAGACAAGGCACATGAGACGATACACTTCTCCACAGAGGTACAATTTTCAGGTACTTGTGGAGAGATGTTACTGAAACATCACTGTGGCAACATCTCTCTATTTGGAGGTCTTTGCTTCAGCAGGTGTGGGGTCACCTCAGGGGGTAAATAGGACAAGAGAGTTTGAGACACAGAGCAGTAAGCAGGGTAAAGACTTTCTCAGCTTGCTTGACTGGCACATAGAGCTACAAGAAAAAGAGCTGACTTGAAGCCCCCCTAAAGAGAAACTCCTCCAATAGATCACCTGGTCTTGTGCCATTCAGTCACTCCATAGATGAAGAAGGACAACAGAGTTTGGGAGAGGGACACCAATACGGTGAGATTCCTGAAGGGCTACAGTGAAGAACAGAGAGAACCTCAAGGACTTCAGGAAAAGAAATTTTCCCCAGAAAGGACTTTCAGTAGAATGAAAGTCTGACCTCATAGGTTGAACATTTTAAATTGGCAACTAATCAATATCATCATAAAGATAAGAATTATGAACAACTTATGCTGACAGAGTAGAAATGGCCTAACACTTATCAAGAAAAACTTCACATAATGTCAAGAAAGCAACAATCAGCTTCAAACATTGTGATAAAACAATTACACTTTCTCAAAAAAAAAGCTGAGAATATTACAGATCAAATGAATCTTCTTGACTCGTCAGAGTCAAGAAGACAGATGATATATGTTGATATGGAGATAATTAGGACAACTACAAAAGAAAATACAAATGTTGGGAGAAACAATGGAAGCCACAAATAAAGGGAATACCATAGAGACAGAAAACAAGAAGAAATAGATTGATGATGA